TGTCCTCTCAATATATATGCTAAAGCCCTAACCCTGAATATGATGGTGTTTGGAGATGGGGCCTTTAGGACATAAGCAGAGTTAGATAAGGTCAGGAGGGTGAAGCTCTGGTCCTATGGGATTAGTGCCCTTATAAGAAGAGACACCAGAGCTCTCTCACTTGCTCACTCTCTTTCTCTCCCCCATCCCTACCTCCAGCAGGCACAAAGAAGAGGTCATGTAAATGCATAGCAAGAAGGCAGTCATCTGCTTGCCAGAAAGAGAACCCTCACAGAACAAGACCATGCTGGCACCCTGATCTGGGACTTCCAGCCTCCAGAATTGTAAGAAAACAAATTTCAACTGTAAGCCACGCAGACTATGATATTTTGTTATGGCAACCCAAGCTGACTAAGACACACACTCCAGATTTGGTTCACATTTAATGGATAGATTACAGTTCTATTGTGAGTTATCAAAAGACATCAATTTATTTGTTATTGTGACTAGAGGGCCATTACATTGGTCTGAACATTCAGATTCCTCACACGCAAAACGTCTATATTATTCCTATCAAGAAAGACAGAGTTCAGTCAAGCAGGAGTTCTGCTCTTCATTTTATGATAGATTTCTAGCTCCAGTTAGGAACTGGTACTTGATGCTTTCTCTCCCCATTCCCACACCTTTGTACCCCTGAGTAACATTTGTTTGTTTGACAGCAAAATATTAACCCTGGAGACTTGTATTGGCAGAATTTTATTTTATCTTTACTTAGTAACTTAATCTCCATAACACCAATAGCAACGTGATTTCATTTAACATCAATGTCACCTCAATCCTAAAGAGGAAATGTACATGGTTATTTGTGCTAACTTTGTACCCATTCAACTGCATGATAAATTCTGACTTTTCCTCAAAGTTCATTGCGGGCAATATGTCACAATGCATGCAGAAAAATATAATAACAGAGACAGAATTTCCTATAAAGGCCATTTAAATACCAGGCTTCCTCTTCTTTTCTACTGCATGAAGTGGGATAACCTAGGCTGACTTGAACTGGCAATTGCTTTAACACCAAGAGTACACAAATGATCGGTTTGTTGATAAGTATATTGTTATATGTTTTTAGTTTGCCCAGGAGCTGGAAGGGACAGACACATGCATTAATTCCTAAAAGCAATTAAATTCATAATAAGGTATCTTCTACTTACAAATATAATTTATTTTTCAGTTTTTAACTAAACTAATGGAGACATGTAACTTATCATGTCTGAGTAATCTGTGGTTCTAGCAAAAACATATCAAAAAGCCAACATTTCATTGGGTTCAAAATTAATTTTTCTCTCAACGGCCAACAATTTTGTGTTCTTACCCATTGAGATGTAGGTCGGTTTTAATTTTCATGATTTTAAAAATGTACTCTGGTAACACAGTTAATCATGATCCCCTAAAATCATAAACTTCATGAATAACAGAGTTACTCAGTATAAGGGTTTATAAATTGACAAATAAAACATTTTTGTTTCTGCCCCAATTTTTAATTTGAGATCACTTATATTTTATATTGCATGTTTTGGGATAAATACAAAGACAAAATATACCCATTACAGTTACATCTTAGTCAATTCTTTGACTTTTCATCAGTTGCAACAAAATTATGATTTCTGACATTGATAACTGCCACTAATAAAAGGAAAAAAATCTATCAGATAGAATGCACAGGTTCTGAGAATTATGACTCCAATGCATTGTGTGACTTAATTTCTACCACATTTGGAAAGGAACAGAGTTCCATAAGAAATTCACTAAGCTTCAAACCTCACTAACAACTAACTGCTTTGATGAGGCTCCTAAATAATGCTCCATTTACTAGTAAAAATTGACACCTTATTCCTAATCTTGCATAATAATTTATTCTTAAAATAAGATTTTGGAAGTCCAAACGAAATACAACTTTGGGGAATAAATTATTGAAAATCAGGATTTGGGTTCTGTGATAAAGTAAAATAGAAATTTAACTATTCACGTGGTTAATTCTGTTCTATATTTTGATTTCCCAAACTCAACAACACATAAGGCCCCAGTGGTCACTAGTTTTCTAAAATTAGTTCCTGCAGCCCTGTGGGCCATCTTCCTGTGTACCAAAAGTTAATTCAGCAGAGGGAATGAGAGGCAAACCATTTCCCTCATTAGATAATCTGGACACTTGGCCTCTCTTTCTCACTAAATTTGCTGTCTGGAGTCTGGTAAAAAGAAGGTGAACTGAGACAAAGCCAAGTTGCTATTTATACTTTTAGGGTGCCTGTTTTATGAATAAGTATGAAAATCTACATAAGCACACACAGACATGCACTCATACAGAGAGTTAAGGGGAGAAATCACCTTTCAACATTTGTTGGAAGGGAGAGAATTGCAAAGTCTTCCATTGACTATTAGCTAAGTGTCCCACTTCATCAATTTTCTCCCCAGTAAACTTAATCCCTAAACTCATACTCTGTTTAAGGAGATCCTCGATGTTTAGTAGGCTGTAAAAGGTTTGCTATAAATAAAAGTTCATTGATAATTCGCCTCCTGACAAGTAGTTCTCCTGAGTGCTTAGTTTTAGAGAAGTTCCTTTTGGCCTCCTCTACTTAATCACCAACACTCCAGGCTGCTCAAACCTGTGAGCAGAGAGACAACCATTTCCTTGTGCCTGCCTTCACTGAAACTATTGCACCATCCCACACCAGACCTTATACAAAGTCATTCCATATGACAATATCGGAGCCTCTAGTTCTCTCTCCTTCCTTCTCTTGCTTCTCTTCTTTTCTTCCCTCACTTTCTTCTTTCCTTCTACCCTCACTCCCTCTCCCTCTCTCTTCCTCTCTCTCTTTCTTTCTATATTGCTACAGACCAATTCTATTCCTCCACGGAATAGAATTGTTTTCTCAATGTCACAGCACAGTGGCACGGGTTAAGGAAGTGGAAACCCACAGGAAATTCTCCCTAAGTGGAAGTATTTCATGGTTTAGCAATTTTTCTCAACATGTGCATTTTGTTTTCCACCAGTACAATTGGGTCACCTTGAATGTCTAGAGGAATTACATCCAACGTTTTGAGAATAAGTTCAGATTTACTGAGAAAAGGTTCAACAAACAAAGGCCATTTTCTGCCCTTTAACTTAGATACACTTTGCAAAAACTATAATGACATCTGATCTCACTCTGCTAACTCAAAGAAAACAAATGCTCTCAAGGTCCGACTCAGCCACCTCAAAAAGGGGGTTACCCATATACTCCGTGGCGTTTCCCTAAACTCCCTCTGCGGCATGGACAGCTGTGACAGAATGTGACCAGGGCCTGGCACGAGGTTATCAAGTTGGCTGTGACATTCAGAAAAAGATGACGCTTCTGCGGGCCTTGTGGATTCAGAATCCACCCAGCTATAGAATTCCAAAACCTTCCATTGTTTTTCGAAGTCAAATCTCACATGGATTTGGCCTCAACAAAGGACAAGATGGAGATGTGAGGAGGTCAAGAAAAGAGAAACATCGGGATTTGATCAAATGATGGCTGTGCTGGAAATGGCCCCACTTCCCAAAGTGCGTGAGTCCTGGTTCTGCTCGCGGTGTCGGGACTTCCCTGTCCTCGGGGACCACGCCGGCCCTCCTAAACTCTCTTCCCAACCCAAAAGGGGCGCGGGCGGGACTTGGCGTGGAGGTCCCCGAGGGGCCCGCCCACCCGGGGCCCGCCCACCCACTCGCCCGCGATCACTCCACGGGGGCCGTTTGTCACCTCCCGCCTCCTAGGCTGTCGAGGAGCTCCTCGGGTCACCCACTCAGGGCCCAGAGCCATCAATCCTTCCCCGCTTTGAAATGTGAGTTCGGGTTGCCAAGGACATTGCCGCCGCGCCCCTGCAGTGCCCCCCGCTCATCTGTGGCCTTGTCCTGCCTTTTGCGTGGCGCCGCCTTTCTTTGGGCGCGGCAGGACGCACAAAAGTGAGGCGGACCCGCCAATTTCAGTGCGCTCCCCACGTTTCCCACAGCCGTCGGGGCGGCCGCAGAGCCGGCCGGGCCTCCCTGCTGCGGGCGCAGGGACGAAATCCTTGGGCTCTCCGGCGCCTGCGCCGGCCGCGGTGTGGCCCCGCGGGGGACTCTCGGCCGCAGACAGCCCAGGCGGGAGCGCGTGGGCCGGGGGGAGGGGCCGAGACGCACCCACGGGGCTGACGCCGCTGGCCCCCGGCCTGGAGGCGACAGGGGTGTCCCTGCGGCCCGTTCCCCCCACTCACTCCCAGGATGTGGCCCCGCTGCAGGGGGACTACTGTGCTGGGCTGTGAGTTTGTCTGGCAGCTTCTACTGAGCAGCTAATAGTATAACAACCCGGCTTTGATAAATCTGAACTAATTACCCCTCTTAATTAAAGTCTTTAGCAGTTGTTTCACTGTTTTGGCAAGAAAGCAGGAGAGACTTGCCGTTAGAAAACAGCAGAGCCTGAGCTCACAGCGGAGCTGCTGATTAACACTTAAAGCATTTCAAGGACCTGGCACCCGCCTCAGTTTGGTTTTCATCCATGTTTTCTCCTTGAATGGAAGTATATTCGTCTATAAACATATATACACACATAAAAACACGGAGGCTCCCTTTGCCAGCTGTGTTCAAGTCAGTATGTGCCTTCAGGATGCAAACAATACATACTTGCCTACGTGACAGTATTGCAATGCGTTGCTGGAGATGTGTATTACGCACAGTTCCCCCGTGTGTTGCTCCCATCTAACCCTGCACTACAAGCTTATCAGGTGGCCCAAGCCAAAGTCATTTCTGTTAGCAAACTAAACATCTTCTGTCTCTGAACTTTGCCAAATTTCGTAACTTTACCCAAAGCTGGAACCATTTGGAGACACTATTTGCACCTATTGAATTTTCAGGCCAAAACATCAGGTATTACAAGTCCAGGGTCGAACTTTTAAAAAAAGATTTCAGAGGAGGAGGAAGAGGTCAGAATCCGGATCTTTAGCTGAACAATAGGAACAGAACCCTAAAGTCTGTTGATTAAATAAGCATGTTCCAAGTATTTATTTGCAACAGTTAATGAATCAATTTTCACGTGCAAGAATCAAAACCAAATTCAAATTCGTCTGCAATGATCCACCCTTATCTAGGGTGTATGTGTGCGTATGTGTACGTGTGCACTCACAAATGTGGAATGTGCCTTTACAGGAGCACACATATGCGTGTATATATAACATACACCCAGTGTTTTGTTACTTTAGGGAAGGAGGAAATGATAATAAACAATCAGCAGGCATCTCTAGACGGCAGAATCAACACAATGGAAATATATACAATAATAAAATTAAAGTGGTGCAGCATTCTCGGGTAGAATAATACAGATCTCAATAAATACAGAGAAATTTGTTTCAAAAAACAAACAAAACAAACATCATCTCTCCACCCGAGATGAAAAGTCTTTCCAAATTAAAAACAAAAAAAAAAAATCAGAAAACAAAATGTTCCAGATTTCTCATAATTGTTAGTGCCTATTTAGAATATAATACACAAAACCATTTAGCAGGTGCATGCAAGAGGCGAAAGGCCAGGGATTGCAGAGGCCCTAAAGTGTGGGGCTCAACATGCCCGGGATTCTGTAGACGAGCTTGGGCAGGGAGGTCCAGCTCTAGTCTGCCGCTGACTCAGCAGTGGGGGTCCGGCCTGGGGCTGGGAGGAACCTTGGCCTCGATCACTGGTGGCCCTGGTGGAGCCCAGGCTGCAGGGGCCCAGGGGGCGGCAGCGTCGGCTGCAGAGGCGGCAGCGTCGCGGCCGGCGGCTGCTGTATCGCGGGCGGCGGGTCGGTGCCTGATTCCCCAGCGGGCGTGCGAGCCAGCCCCAGGCTGCTGTCGTGAAGCTTACGGACGTGCTTCTTGAGGTCAAAGTTCCTGCAGAAGCCCTTGCCGCACGTGGGGCAGGTGAAAGGCTTCTTGTCGTTGTGGGTGTGCATGTGGAAGGTGAGGTTGTAAACCTGGTGGAAAGCCTTGTTGCAGATATTGCACTTGAACTGCTTCTCCCCGCTGTGGGTCAACTTGTGGTTTTTATAATTCCCTGAAACAGACAAATGACAGCGACGTGGTTCTGAAAAGAAAGCTTGATAAGGGAGCGGTCGCGTTGAAGGCAGCCAAGCAAGCGGCAGAGCTGGTGCAGTGCTGCTATCTGCGCCTGCACTTGTCTCCCCAAGTTTCTTTTAAACATAAACAGTAAGGCCCTTTCCTCTACATTTTAATACACATTCATAAATCCAGTTACATAAAACGAGAAAATGCAGTCAAAAAGAAATATCGCCTTGGTATATGAACCATGACTTTCTTTAATACTAATCAGACTTGGGGTAGGGGGTTAGCTGCACTTTAAAAATCGTTTTCTAAAATATCTCACAAAGATTAACTATGTCCCTTACTGGTCGGCCCAGGGGGGAAAAAAGATTAACTATGGCTTTCGGTAAGACCAACATTAAGAGGCAACATTTCCTGGGTTCGATACCTTTTTGATGAAATCCTTTGCCACAGAATTCACATACAAACGGTTTGTAGCCTGCGTGTATTCGGGTATGCGTGTTTAAAGTGGAACTTCTATTAAATGCTTTGCCACACTGGTTACATTTATGAGGTTTTTCCTAAACAGGAGGGAGGAAAAGCAGAGAAGTTAAGGTATTTTGTTATTATTGGAGTCCTGCAAGCCCCAAACACAGTGATGCTCTAATGCTTTTAAGCAGAACAAAGGCAAACAAAGGCATTTCCCTCTGTCCAGCCAGCACATTTTAAACAGACTTTACGCTAAAGAGTAAGGATTTATCGGCCATTTTTTCTGCAAACAGTTCCGAAGTAAACCAGGTAAAACTAAGACAGATGAACACACCTGCGTGTGAATGATTTTGTGCCTGCACAAGGTGCTGGCTTGCCGGAAACCCTTTCCACACACTTTGCAAACGAAGGGTCTGGCTCCTGTGTGCACCGGCATGTGACGGGTTAAGTTATAGTGCGCGTTAAAGACCTTAAAATTAAACAAACGTAGAACAGGTTAGCCGAACAAGCACATTGAAATCAAACCGGGCAGAGGGTGGGGAGGAGGAAGATAACTTTATAACTAGAGCATATACATAATTATCCCCCAAACAATAAAAATAAAGAAGGAAGGAAGGATGGGAGGAAGGAAGGAAGGAAGGATGGAAGGAAGGAAGCATCACTCTTCTGCGTAGTACTTGCCTTTCCACATACTTCGCAAGTGAAAACTTTGGGTTTGGCATTAGGAGAGCCTCGGCTGAAATCCGAGGTTTTAAACGCGATTTTTTCCGACAGAAGGTGGGCGCTTTCCTTCATGTAATGCTGCAGCTGAGCCTGGGACAGGTCTTTGAAAGCTACTCCCGAGGGGTACTTCTCCACCGCCGGGACCACCAGTTTATTCCTTTCGGCTAAATACGTTTTTGGCTGCGGATGCAAAGGGGAACTGAGGAAGTAGGAGGCCACGGGGTGGATGTTCACGCCGCCCGCCGGGTGGCACGGGCCGTCACCTCGGTTCAGGTAGCACAGGGCGCCCATGGCGTGGAAGGAAGAGTGGTTGACCACACGCGGCCTTACCAGCTTGTACTGCTGCAGCGGCAGCGCGTCGCGGGCCAGGTCGCCCTTGAGACTCAGCGCGCAGTTGAGCAGGTCGCTGCAGCTGAATGCGGGCCCCGCGGGCGCCGCCGCGGGCGCCGCCGGGGTCTCCAGACTCGCCTTCCGCGGCTCCGAGCCAGTCACTCCGGCCTTGGGGCTCGTGTCGTACGCCACAGGCACGAAGGGGATCATGCAGGGGATCGACGAGTTGAGATGCAGAGAGTGCTTAGGGTCCCCCTTGGGCACGGCTCCCTGCAGGAAATGGGGGACGGGCAGGGCCTTGGGCTCTGGGGTGCGCGCCATAATTCGTTCGATGGAGAAAGCCAACGGTTTGGACGTGCTCATCACGTTGCCCCGAGCTGGAGCTGTCGCTAACATTTTGGAGGTCGCGTTGTGGCAGCTACTGTCCATGTCTGAGTCGCTCGCGTCCGTCAGCCGGGATTGGGCTGCGCCGTCGTTGCCTTGCTCCCTGCTTGTCACAGACCTGCGGAGAATGGGACGGGCACCATCACCACCAGCAGCCTCCTCCTCCTCCTCCCCAGCATCACCAGCCGAACCTGCCTGCCCAACCCAATGGACTCCTGCCAGCCCATCGCAGAGTTCTTGGCGCACCAATGACTCGGGGACAATCACTACTTATTTCTATCAATAGAAAGTGTTGTGTCAATAACGCAGCCAAGATCTCGCCAATCGTTAACTTCCAAGAGGAGAAGGTAAACTAGATAATTGCTCAATTCGCTTCCAACAGTCAACAGGAAAACTTTTTTTTCCCCTCTGCAGTCAGTGACTACTTTTCATTGGTGAGTGAGTTTCCTCCGCCCAGAAGAGGAGGGAGCACCCTCCCCTGCGCCGCGCGCCCTCCCCTGCGCACACACACTCTCGGGCGCGCACTCCGCTACCTTCCAGGTCCCCCCAAGAGGCCCCAGAGAGCTGTCTTCCCCCTTCTGCCATGTGAGGACACAGCAAGAAGGCACCATCTATGAACCAGACTCCGAATCTGCCTTGCTCCTGGACTTCCCAGCCTCCAAAACTATGAAAAATAAATTTCTGTTGTTTATAAGCTACACAGTTTATAGTATTTTGTTATAGCAGCCCAAATGGACTAAGATAATCTCCAAGAGTCTGTGGCATCTGGCAGAATTCTGGTCGTTGGAGGCACAAAACAACACTTAATGTTCAATCCTTAGGATGGAAAGCTGAAAACAAAACAATACCAATGGCTGACACCCTGATACAGGGCTTTCAGTCGGTCCCACCTCAATGCTCCTCACCCACAATTCCATCCTTAGTTGCCAACCCTTGACCATGGGGTGGTGCTTTCAGAGCCTCCTAAACTCCCTTAAACCATTTGCTTCCTCTGTCTTTTTAATTCTCAATCTGCTTAACCAGGCTTTAAAGGCCAAGCAAATCTGAGATCAATTTTCTCGTTTAGCTCTAAGTGACATCATCTAAAATCATTGTGCAAGGACTAAATAAGGAAACGGAGTCTAATTCAGGGGCAAACGCCAGGCTATATTTATCAAACCCCAGGCTCCAGGAAGCCTCGGGCAGCATATTCCGAGGTTTCCCTGCTTGGTTCCGCGGGGCCCGGGTTGGGCCCGGGTCCGGGTCGTGCCGCCTCCTCCGCAGCCCTCTTTCTTCCTGCAGGGCCGGGGACTGCGCGCTCCTGCCATCCCGAAGTCTTCGTGGCTCGAACCGAGTCTGGACTATTTGGAAGACGCCAGCAGGTAACTGGCCTCCCAAAACGCCCCTGAGAATTAAAGGTCTTGGGAGGCTTGTTATGTGTTTATGGTTTCGTAAAGGCGATGCCCGTGGCAATAAGCCCGAGAACGACTCACTCCCATCCAGAAAGTTGAGGAGTTGCAAGGAATAAGCGGGTGTCACACACAAGAAACCTTGACTCGGATCGGACCCACCCCAGATACACAACACGCGCGCGCGCTTCTGTGAGTTTCCACTGAGAGCCAGGAAAGAGCATTTTTTTTTCTTAAGTACCTGCGCTCAGCTAGAGCTCTACTGGAACATTTTAAATACTGAATGTTGAGCGGAGAAGGGAAACAGAAATGATTGCTCCCCACCCCGACTGGCGGTGTCCGTGTGCCTTCCTGAAGCAGTGCAGGCGGCAGCCAGGGTATCTGTGCGCGGCGGAGCAGAGAGCAAAGCGACCTGCCAGCGCCAGAGTCGTGACCGTTGCTAGCTACACTTACGCCTCCCAAAGAGCGCGCGGAGACCGTGCCCCTGAAAAGCGCCCCCCACCCTCACCCCCCGGCCGGGCGCCCTCCCACTGTGGCTCCTTGGCCCAAACTCCTGGAGTGGAACGGACGAGCGTAGGGTTCCAGGAAGACCGCAGTGGCTGCAGCTCCTACTGTGCGGGTTCCCGCAGCTCAGGCGGGCGCGGCCCAGAGTGCACCCGGACCAGCGGCGCGCATCTTCCTCGACGCAGTAGGTTGCAAGCCTGAGATTGCTCAGGGCTGAGCCCCGGGGCTAGGCGCACACGAGGGGCTGTACCGAGCTGGAAGACGCCGGGGCTGCTAGTCAGCGCCGGGAGGCCATGGGAGCGCGCAGAGCTGCCAGCACAAGGCAGCGCGGCCTGGACTCCGGGATGAGTGGCCGCCCGCTGCAGCCTCTGGTGCAATCTGCCTGGTGAGTTAACCCCGAGTGGGCGAGTGTGGAACGGGTGGTGGCGGGTGCCAGGTATCTGTCCAAGCGTAGTGTGGTGTCCTTCTGCAGGAGCCCTGGAAAGGGTCGGAGGTGGGATGCTGGATGAAGGCGGACTAGAAACCCTGGGATTGTTGAACCCCTGATGAGTTTCGCTCAGAGTTGCGAAGTTGGACCTCATAAGGAGGAATTGAACTCAAAGTATTCCCTCCTCCCTACCCCATTCCCAGCACGTGCCAGGACAAGGACCTAGGTCCCCCACCGCACTCTGGCTTTCCGTGAGAGGCAGTACCGCCCTTGCCCCGCGTGCCGTGAGGGGTGGAAATGCAGAGAGCTTGGGCTGGGAACGCGCCTGATGCCCAACAGTGAGACTGGGCAGATGGGTGGGTGGTGGGGAAACTCACTTGCTGAAGAAAAGGGGGAGGGGATGTGAGTCCTGTTGGAAGCTGAGGGTGGCCGAGGGGGCGGGTGGGGGAGAGATCTGGCTGGATGCGACCGGCTTTAGCAGCTAGGCCTGGGAGTGCCTCGTGTCTGGGCTGGGGTGGCTTTGAACTGGGAGGACAGATGCAGCGTTGAAGAAGGGCAGAGGGAGGCGAGCGCAGAGCGCCTGGGCCGAGCCGGGGAAGAGGCAGCACACCCCCGGGCGCCGCTTCGGAGCCGTCCTCTGCCCGGGCGCAGCCACACACACGGGGTTCTCCCAAGCTGGAAATTTTCTTCTCTTTTGCAGTTGGGGCCGCAGAACCTGTCCCCGCTCAGACAAAGGGCGCGGGACGGGCTCTGCTGGGTGAGGGGGCGGGTCGCTGTCCCACGACAGATGGGCCGCGGTTAAGACTTTAATTGCTGCCTTTGGGGACAGATCAGGTTCCCTTTCCTGCCTGCCACTTCCCAACAGCGGAATATTCCTCTCCTGCTGCACTCCTCCGACATAGGGCCAGGTTTAAAGGAAAAGCTAAAGAACCAAAGCTTTGGAGCTCTGCAAAGCTTTGGAGCCCCCAGCTCACTTGTACAACTCACCAGCCTCCGGAGCGTTACCTGTCTTCTTGACTGAATGCCACCAGTTCGTTTTACGTTTGTCGCGTGTCCCTTCCTCTCCGCTTCTTCCCTCCTCCTCCCCTCTCTTTGACGGCAAAATAGCCTTTAATTGACCTCGGTAAATTTCTCCTAAGGTGGACACTAAACTAAAAAGAAAAAAAATATTGGCTAAGGGAAATACAAGTTTTGTATAGTTAATATTTCAAGAGTTTGCTTTTCACTGGTCTTTTCGGGATTTGTCTTTTTGGCAAGTATTTGAAAGTGTCATTTGAGTAACACAAATAATGGCAAAGCATCAGTTACGCCCTTCCTTTAGGATAGCTTTGAGCTTCCTAACCCTAAGACGGAAGAGGTTCTTTACAAACCCAGGTCTTGATATTCCAACTTTTGTTAATATTTTCTATTAAAAGCCTAACCAAAAATGTGTATTAATTTTTAAATAATATCTCTGTTAAGTAGGAATTGTCTAAGAGGAAAATGTATTTAGGAAGAGCTTTCATCTTATTGTCAAATCTACCACTTTGTTTTATTTTCAAACATATTTGAAAATAACAACAAAAGCAATAAAAGCAGGGCATATGTGGCAAATTTAGAAGCTTCTAAAATGGTTTGACACTTAAAAATTGTTTAATTTACTAAAAGGAATGCAAGGGAACCTTGTTTGTTTTGTTAATTGCAAAGTAGAAACTCTGTTACAGTTTCTTCGGATTTTCTTGGAGAATCCTATAATCCTCCCTTTTTTGTTCAGAGCTGATGATGAAGTATTCCTCCCCTTCCCACCCACAGAAAGGCAGGATTTATTTACCCTATCCATCCACCTTAAATCCTGGTAGAAGGCAAGTTTGAAGTGTATGGTTTGTCTTGCACGAGATATCCTGAGAGAACCAGAGCAGTCCTTGATGTAAAGAGGCCAGGTAAACTCTGGGTTAAGACCTTCTTAAAACATAAGAAAAAAGTTCTACTCCTCTAAAATAATTTAAAATTCTCATTTTTTAGAAATCTAATTTTGACTTGGGTGCTTCTTAAACTGTTACTGATATTCCTCAAGAACTTACATAGTTTTTACAGGCTTTTTATTTAAGTCCCTGTCACAAGCAAGTACGGTTTCTGCTCAAATTAGTGTAATCTGAAGTAAAAGGACATATAATATGTCCATGAATTATAATCCATAATATTTAATCTATTCTTTCTTGATAAGTCACAAAATACTGTTGGATCTTTGAAAATAAAACATGGATTGGAAAACATTATAACATATACAACCTTCTGCTCTGTGCATTGATTTGTTCTGTTTGTTTTTAGGGTTTTCAGGCCTGTCCAACATCTCTGACCCCCACCCCTTCGCCAAGAACAGTCTGCTTTCTCCATGCTTCTTATTAGCTGCTGTGAGCTAAAGGAGGAGGTGAAGAAGGCATTATTTATTATTATTATTATTATTATTATTATTATTATCATCATCATTATTATGTCCCCCCCCCAGGCATTCAGGCACATTCAAACTTATTTTGTTTAATAAATAGCACTAAAGACAATATACTTTACTTCTGGAAGAGGAAAATACATTCCTAAATTCCTTTACAGTTTTGTTCAGTCTTTACCTCTGACTGGTCTTTTGTTTTGGTGTGTAATGGAGGCAGGGTGATGGAAAAGGATGCAAATAGCAAAAAGTCTTCAAGGTTCAAGTAAAGAACTTGTTCCAGTACCTCGGATTAGCTAATGAATACACAGTGGGAACTAACTTTCATTGGGCAACAAGTTCAAATTTAAGGCCACCAGTGTGCTTTTAGTTAGTTTGGGAGCAAATAAAGAATTTGTACTAATTTTGTATAGTTTGTGAAGGACAGTATAGGGTCAGGAGTATGGGAAGGGTCAGTTAACTCACAGACCCTTTCTCACTTTTGGGGGGAGGGGTAGTGGGAGGGTGGTTTGTTGTCTCTAGACCTTCGTTGTTACTGTTTCTTTTATATTAGAATTTTGTTTAAATCCAGTGAAATTATTCCTTTCAAAACAACATTTGCATATTAGATCAGTTTGTAAAAGAAAACTAAGAGCCCCAACTTGAGAGCTGTTAATAAGGTGAAAGGCTAACGCTATACACAATGATCACTTGGGCTGGGTTTGTTTCTGACCTCCACTAATGATGGGATTTTTCTCACTCGTTCCCACAGGCCTGTTAGGTGCGTCCCTCCAGACTGCGAGGCAAGCGACTCAGGGCTGGACTTGATGGAAAAAGAAGTTTATAAATAAGCAACCCAATTTCTCCAACCTTTTCGTGGAGCTGCTTAAAAGTCAAGCAAAGTTTTGCTTGTAATTTACAACGGTGCTATTGAAACCTGGGAGGCGAACAATTAGAAGACGCCCCAAACATGCTTTTTTGCTCTACACTGATATACTTGCCTACAATGACAGGGAAAGCTGCTTAGTGCAACCGGCTCTTTGAGCTTTGCAGCAGTCCCCAGACAGTTTTTTTTAAAGTCATTTTGTGGTCAAAATAAAAACCATATTCGGCACTCAAGACTCTTTCCTTGATACTAGCCAGGATTTTAAAAAGCAATTTTGATGTTCTTTTCAAACTTTCTTCCTTAAGAGGTCCCATGAAATAAAAGCCTGTAATCGAAATTCAAACGAGGAAAGAATGAGCTTAGAGAAATGGAGACGCAGTGCGGTAAATCAAAATCCTTGAGCCAGAAACTTCTGAGTCGTTTATAAACGCGTTCACCTCCTGCACTGCGGCAGATGGCCTCTCGGGCCCGGGAGCGCCCCGCGCCGCCCCTCTGCCCTGAGCCGCCTCGGCCTCGGCTGCCGGGGGGACTGCGTGCCGGCTGCTGGCGTCGGAGCCCAGGCGCCCCGCCGCATTCACGATTCGGTTGCCAGAGCAGAGCCATTTAAGAGAGAGAAGCCCGGAGTGAAACAGAAAAGCCGACGCAGTGACAACGACGTTGTCAAGACCGGGGGTGACCGAGCTCTGTGACACTGCCTTGCAGGGGCCCGAAGCCGTGGCTCGAGAGGCTTGGCCAGGGCTGGCGAGCTGGGCGCCCCTGCAGCGGCCGGCCGGGTTCCTCGGCCCTGTCTGCGCGTCCGGATCGCCTCTGCTCCTGGGGACCTGCGGGCCCTGCGGCCCCTGCCGGGCGCGGTCGCGCTCCTCGCCTCCCCTCCGCATCCCCAAGGTCGGGAGGAGGCCGCGGAGGCTCCGAAGGGCTTCGCGTGGCAGGCGGTGCAGAGCTCCTGATGAGACGCCGCGGGAGAACGTTCGCTGATCGGCTTGCTTTGGCGACGGGCCGTGGAACTGAAGGGCAGTTTAATCTCGGTGTAAGGCGAGAGGACACAGGCCCGGCGGTGTGGCACGTCGAGGAGGAACTACGACATGCTTTTAAATCAGTTTTGCCTGTCATTTTGAATCTCCCGGAACACTCGTTCTTAAACCAGTTTTAAAGGGGGGGGGGTGGCACCTGATTGTCTCCTTCAAACACAGCACGACCGTCACCACGCGATGTGTTTTTCGCCCGCTTCTTTCCCTCGCGAATCCTCCCTTCGAAACCACTTTGGCCGGTGCTTAGAAGCAGCAGCTGTTTTCTGATGGCCGCGAAGAGCTTTCTGTCTAGATTCTCCTGCTCAAGCCTGTTCCCTTCTGCCTCCCCCGGCCCAGCCTCCTGTTTGTCTTTTCATCCCGATTCCTGAGTTCTCGATCACTCCCTCCAGGTCCTCTAAAACAGGACAGGATGGCCCCCACAGAACGCAGCCCCCGCGGCCACCGCCAGCTGCCCCCACGGCCCCCGAAGGGCGGGACACCCTGGGCCCCCGCCGGCCGCCTCCCCTAGGCTGGGGGGGGGGGGGTGGGGGCGGGTAAGGACGCCGTCCTGCCATTCTCCCTGTCCCTCTCTCAGGTCCCTCCCTGACCGGATCCTACACGCGCTGTGTAGGTGTCAGGAGTTGGACCCTAAATCCACGCTGAGAAAATCTCAAGGAGAGGCTTGACCCGCGCTTAGGGAATCTTACTAACGTGTAAAATACCGAGTTAAACTACCGCTTCCAGGTTTGAATGACTGTGTCAGTTCTTTTCCTTTTTCTCTTTCCACCGTCTCCTCTTCATTCAAGTTCAGTAGCTTCTTTTCAATTTCTCTGCCGGGGGGTCCGTCCTCATAGTTGTCATCAGGCTCACAGAGGAGAAGGGTGCTGGAAACAGCGCCAAGCGGGAGGCGCCCCGCGGCGGGGTTGACGCGGCAGCAGGCGGACGGCGACCCCGCGCCCGCGGTGCTCGGGGGCCGGCCGGTGACGTCACGAGGGCGGCCCGCGGCGGCCTCTGGTCTCTGCTGAGTCGCTGGGTAGAGGGTGGGAAGAGGGACAGGGTCTGGGGTAAAAAGCCAGAAGAAGGAAGGAACCAGGCTGGGCTGGGAGTCACTCGGGGACCGAACGGGGTCGGCTCCTGCTGCTCGTGGAGGCGGCGGGGCGGGGGGACCGCCTCTGCTGACCCTGCGATTCACAGCTTCTCAGAAGTTTACGTACTATCAGGGCGCAGATGTAAACCTAAAGGACAAAAACGATCATTCAACAGCACAGACTCCATCTTCGCACCATCGGCCTGGATATGTTCCCGGCGTTGGCACATGACGCTGATTCCCAGAGCTTTTACTCACGACGGAGAATATCTGAACTTCACACGACTGTTGAGAGGAAGAGAGGGAGGAAAGGGGAAGAGAAAGAGAAATTGGCTTTAATGACGCTGATTTAGATTCTGAATAATAGCAAAAGATTTTTTTTAAAAAAAATGAAGAGCATATGCTGTGTACAAAAGGTGGCAGGCAAGGTAATAATTGGGGTCCCTCACTTTCCAAATGACCTATCTGTTCCCCTTTTATTTGGCTGACATCAACGTTTTATTGTAAAAGCGAAGTCATTATCCTTTAATATTAATAGGAAATTCCAATTAATTATTCCCCTAAATAAGTGAAGCCCACGGCCTCTACTGAAGAGAGAGAGAGGCCCCGCTGTCCACCTGGCTCCTGGCTCCGCTTTGCCAGCTCAGACGCAGGATGGAAAAGTGCAACGTGGCATCCCCAAAATACACGTGATTGCTGTCGCTGCATTTCGAATAAGATTTACCCTCCTGCATTTGAACTCAGATACCAACAGTCATTCAAATTCTGGAGCCTTACGTGCGGCGTTTTCTTAATGATTCCCTGTGGAACGTGGGGCAAGGGGAAAGCCAGGGGCAGGGATCGTAGAATCCCAGTGTCCCATTATTTTAGCTCAGAGGGTCGCAGCAGCGCAGGTGTCCTTTGGTCTTGCGCTGTCTCCGACAAGTGCGTCTCCCGTCCTTGAGCTTGGAAAGTGGAGCAGTGGAGCCGTCCCCGCATAGTTAGATGCTGGAATGGTGGTCACTGGAGATCGGAAAGGGGAAAGGCCTTTCACTCCCCTAAAATGCTTTCTGCATTTTACTGTTATTCTGGCTTCCCTTTTCCCTGCAAAATCCGTGCGCAAAATGGGCTGTGTTCTCCCACATTCTATCTAATCTGTAGTTTGCAGTTGTATTTTAAATTAATTTCTAGAGGTTTTAATTTAAAACCACATAGGCGGGAACTTAAAAAGTAAAAACGTCCGCTTTTTTCAAACGTATGCAATGAATTCTGCTCCCACCTCACCTTCAATTGCCACCGCTATAAAGAGTAAAATATAACTCCTCTTTCTCCTCCCTGTCCCTCACTATCATTTTTAAGCTGGATTCTTCGATTATCCGTTGGAATCGAGAACAACTTTTTCTCCTTTCTAAGAAAGTTTGTCGTAAGTACTGTCACAACCAATACGTCCTGGACACACAGAGCGCTAGAATAAATGATGCCGGTTTCCTGCCCTGCCCTGGCCTGCTAGCTTAGGTCCCTCGGCTTGAGGAAGGCCACACAGCTAGTGGACTCCTGGTTCAGGAACCGATATTGGCAGTTCCCCTTTGCTTTGAATTTTCTGTAAAATGGGACTACGTCAAAGCCCCCTTCATTCCTGAGAGATATTGAAATTGAAAAGAGATTTTAAAATAAGACTATTTTACATATAAAAAGCTATCACCTGGTTTAAAAAGTTAGCTATAAACTTTTCAAAAACTTTTTTTGGCAGCTGAACTTAAAAACAACCCCTATGCTCAATAATAGATTTCAGGTTAAATACATGAAAATTTTAAAATACACATAGGAACCACATTTGCTGAATTATTTTTCACAGTTTCAAGGGGGGCCTGCTCTCCCACATTCAGTCCTGAGTTCCTTAGGGAACACATTTTTCCTGTAGATTCAGAAATTAACCTTCATAAAGCTTTCAAAAAATCCCAGTTTAATCAAAGCAGATTTTATTTCTTAAGAGGCAGTTATGCATTTTTAAAATAAATCAACTTTCTGTAGACTATTCTAACTTTAAGAAAGAACACACCTAGAAGTCACACAGTATAACGAAAAACTGTAGAGTTCGAATGAATGACAATGAATTTTCAAAAAGCAACTTTGAAGTGTGCTTTAAAAAATTATTACCATCTGGCTAGGAAAACCTAATAAAAGCCATACCTTCCCACAATCTGCTGGCCCAGTTGGCCTGTCAGTGTTTCACTCTCCACTGTTTTGAATCCAGTCCTGTTGAGTTCTGACCTTTCACTATGTGACACCTCTTTACTGAAACTTTTGCTACCTCCCTATCAAAATCTCCTCCAAAGCTACAATTAGTTTTGCTTCCCTCACATGTTAAGGAAACACCTTAACGAATGAACTTCAGCGTTTAATCAAGTTTTTTCGCTTTCAGTTACACCCAAGGGAGATGTTCCTTGTAGGGTAAGGGGAGGGAGATAATGCTGATAGTGCTAAAAGGCAAGCCAGAATTTATTTAGAGTAAGAAAGAAAATGACTTGACATATCACTTCCAGTTTTTGCACAGGGACATATTGATGACATCTATGTGTAGGGATTCTACAAACAAACCTAGGCCAGGGCTGTAGGAAGAGTAACTGACATAACTCCGTCAGATGGTTCTTGAAATCAACTCTTCACTTCCACTTGGATGTGAGAATCACCGATCCTAGGGGGAGATAACGTGCACGGAGATTGGGGACAAGTCTAGAATATGTTTATTTGTTGATTTTTTCCTGTCTTTCACAAATAACTGCATAAATACAACCACCCACATTACAAAGTTGCAAACTCAGGGAGATTAAAGACGTTGTAGTATTGAGTCCCTGGAGCTGGGACTTGGAAGCTGGCAGCCTGCTACTTTAAAGGAATGACTAGAATGGGAAACACCCCTCAGATTAAAAATGTAGGAGTCCCAGCTGTATCTCCCCCTTTCTGGAGTGCTCAGTTTCTGCCTCCCTAAGGTCACCACGTGCAAGGCCCTGTACTGGCAGGGCATGAGTCTCCTGTGTCACCAAGGTGCTAGGTTGTGACCTGGGGGTGCTACCTTGGCCCAGCCCTGGGCCTCCATGATGTTTGAGTTTTCCTGGCTACATAGAAGTGCTGCCAGTCCAGCAACTATGGGCGAGGCTACATGCTGGCTGTCCCCCTAAGCGCCTGCAGTCCTTTTATTGTTAAGCTGCCGCTGCTGGGGCCACTTTGGGGCCTGTGGCCTCCTCATCCTCTCTCTCTCGGTTCCAAAGCATTTTGCAAGTGCTTCCTTGTGTTGCATCCCTCATCTGAGACGCAGGATGTCATTCTAGGCCCCCTCAAACTTTGGGAAATGTTAATAAGCACTATTTCATCCCTGAAATTCCCTTGAACTCAACCCATCGGCCACAGGCTGAGGCCGGGGATTACTCGCTTGTGGTATGTTGCCTTTTGGATCTTCCCCGTCCCGTTTCGTGGAGTCCCTGACCCACATCATACCTGGGAGGACTCAGTGACACATCTCCAGCTGCCTCCCCTACAACCACAGCTCCAGGGCCTGCTGTCAGCAACGCTATTCCTCTCTGGAGACCAGAATCGGCTTGCCCCTCCCTATCCCTCCTCTCCTCCCACCGGGCTGGCCCTATATAACCTGGGAACTGGACAATTCTTGCCAGTTCACAGGCATGCCAGGGGCGGGGTTGAAGATCCGTGGAGCTGAGTGTGATCCCAAAGAACCCTGTGCCAACCCCAGGGAGAATGGCTGGTGAGACTGGCATGCTTGTTGTCAGAGGCAAGCCTCCCACGATTTCTTTTGAATCCATCCCTATATGAAGAAATAGTCAATAACGGCCACAGGTAATTACATGTCTGTAATCCTTACAACAACCTTCCTTCATAAGTGACCATTTTACAGAGAGGTTAAGTGACTAGTCCAAGACCACCGTGCTCAGAGCGGGTGAGAGGTGTGGCTGTTGATGTTCAAACCCAGACTTTTCTGACTCCAAGACCCAGGCTCTCGGCGGGTCCTGTCGGGTCCACCCATTTCTGGGTAGTCTTTCAAGTCAAGGGGTCTTCATTTGGGAAACAGACTGAATTCTCTCACCTCCCGTTCTCGCGGTGGGACACGCTCAAACTCCACTGCCCACTTCTCTTTGGAAACAATCCTGTATTTGCACATGGGTGGAGTCGGCGGTTGACAGTTTCTAGTGACTTCTGGAACCCAGCCTCAGAGCTCTGAGCTCAGCTAGCACCTGCCTCTGCTTCCTTGATGTCTTCCTCAGTGTCCCGGAGCAGAGCAGTTTAAGGAAGCTGCAAACCATCTCATCTCCCAGCTCCAGCCCACGCCGGGAGTGGCCCAAGCGACGCTTCAGGGGCGTCGCTGCTCTTAACCCTTCTTCGTCACTGCCGGGCCACCCAGACCTGGGGACTCGACTCCATCTGCAACAAAGTACCGGGGCCAAACGAGCCTTCCTCCAAGGTTCCCCAGAGCAGGACTGACTTGAAGGGGGAAGGAGGCCCAAATGCCGCTTCGTTTCCCTACACAGTAGCGGGACAGGGGGTGGTGGCAGGGGCGAGGGGGGGACTCAGTGTAGAGACAGGATGAACCCTGTCCTCCCGAAAGCCCACAAACCGGGCCTCCAAATTCCGCACAAAACCGAAGGGGGTGGATGGGCCGAAGGCTGAGGCTGGGGCTGCGAGTTGAGGGGAACCGCGGGGCGCGGAGCGCGAGGGGCCGCTTGGCCGCTGTCCCCACGTGCAGACGCCCCGCCGCCAGCCGCGCGCGACCCTCTCTCGGGAACAGCGATCCGTCACCTCCCTTTAGGGACCCGGACCGGGAAACGTCCATTTTCTGTTTGGGGAGTAAGAAGTAAAAGCGACCAAGCTCTCGATCTTGTCTCCCCCTTCGGGTCCTTCTACCAAGTGCCGGGCGGGCGGGGCTCTGAAGCCGGGTCCGCGCTCCGGGGCGCGGGGCCGGTGAACTCCCGGCGTGCTCGGCCACCTCTCCTGGTGGCCCCAGCCTGGGGTCCCCGCTGGTTTTTGCCAGGCGCGTCCCTCTCGGGAGGCAGATCGCAGCGGCGCAAAGGGGTTTCGGGGCTCTCGGAGCCGCGACGCCTAAGTGACCTTTTCCCCACCCAAGCCACCTTCAGGGAGCTCGTGGACCCTCTCACCGCTGGTCGCAGCGGAGTGAAGGAGGGCGACGCCAGGATATGGCTATGACCCTGGGGGGCGCAGTGTGAGCCCGAGACACTTTGCACGGGCGTTTATGGCAAAAGTAGCAGGAAATCCCTTCTCCTGAGCGAGGGACAATGAGCAAGGACTAAAGGGAATTCAAGTGGAAAAGTCTGTGAATGCAAGAACAACCCACAGCTGGAGCCAAGAGGTTTCCATGAAGCTCTGTGTGGTTCTTTCTCTTTCCGGGAAAAGGCATTATCATTTTTTTCTCCAAATGTTCGAAGAAACTTTCCTTTTAGATGTGTTGTTTAACAAACCCGTTCTGGTTGGATATTAGATGGTATTCGTTATTTTCTCCTGCAACACTCACTAAACTGTTCAAGGAATGTACTTTTTTGCCCTTCCCTAAAACCATTTAGGAGGGTAGAGCTATTTCTTTTGAGCTAAAAATGTTTCTCAATTCAAAAATTCTGCAAGACTTGTTGGTTTTCAACTAAATTCTTTTTTTCTTTTTCTTTTTTAAGAATACTTTTAAAAGAATAACACCACATAAAACTTGGCTTCCTTTAATAGACAGATGTTTGGGCGTCCATCCTAACAGTTACACCAGTGAACAATTAAGTCATTTCAAGCAAATTTGGAGTTAGGTTGAAGAAAATTTCTGGGCAAACCCCTCAAAAACATTTTCCATTCTCTTTCAGAGTTAATTTATAGATTTTTCTTCACATATCTTTTTGTGGCTCAAAGGTTAGTCCAGGTAGTCCTCATAAATATGTGAGCAATTTGCACTACCAGCTTTTGACTGTTGTTATCCTCGCTGTGGAAGCCACTCGGGTGAAGGATAGGAAATGGAGCATTCGGAAATCTCCTCGGTGCAGAAAGGAAGGAGCAAGGAACATCAAAATCTGGAGAAAAACTCCCAGAGGCAGACCAGCAAAGGGGCCAATAGGCGGGTTAAACAGGCCAGGCCAGCAGGAAGACCCTCCTGGCCCCAAATGCCTTCCCGTTAACCACCTGTGTTCTCCCTCTATTTCTGAAATTCTATCAGCTAGACATTTGAGTAAATACTTTTTTTTTTTTTTTTTTTTTTTTTAAAACAATTTTGTGGCTCAAAGGTTAGTCCAGGTAGTCCTCATAAATATGTGAGCAATTTGCACTACCAGCTTTTGACTGTTGTTATCCTCGCTGTGGAAGCCACTCGGGTGAAGGATAGGAAATGGAGCATTCGGAAATCTCCTCGGTGCAGAAAGGAAGGAGCAAGGAACATCAAAATCTGGAGAAAAACTCCCAGAGGCAGACCAGCAAAGGGGCCAATAGGCGGGTTAAACAGGCCAGGCCAGCAGGAAGACCCTCCTGGCCCCAAATGCCTTCCCGTTAACCACCTGTGTTCTCCCTCTATTTCTGAAATTCTATCAGCTAGACATTTGAGTAAATACTTTTTTTTTTTTTTTTTTTTTTTTTAAGACAAGAGTTCCAGTAGGGTTAAGGGTGGGGAGTGTTATCAGTTACTCACACCTTAGGACAAAATGGGTCAATTACGTTGAGATGAGCTGTATCAAGGACATGGACATTTTATTTAAATGAACTAAATCAAGGGAAAGAAGAGTGGGTAATTTCCAAGTATAGAGCTCTTTGAGCTGTGACGGAGCAAGCTGGGGGTGGGCGTGGGTGTCCTTGGGGAGTTTAGGCTAGCATAACCGGACACTTGAGGGCTTGAAGAAAAGGATACCAGGTGTTATGATGGAGAAGAAAGGGAGAGCATTCCAAGGCAAACTGCCTTTCAAAAGAGTTAGTCTCTAATCCAGGGAAGGGGAAGATATCTCCTTCTTTTGTTTTTCTTTTTATCTTACCCCTAGTACCAAGAAATTGATCCAAAACAATGCTATCTAATAACTGTGGATTAAAAAGATTTTTGTGGGCTAATGTGGGTACCTAGTTACCATTTATAACACCATGCGAGAACAAATTTGGAGGCTCAAATTATTTCACTTCTATAGTGTCAGAACATAAGTTTTCATAAATTCAGAAATACCTTCACTCGTTTTGCATTAACTGACTTGAATGAATGCAGTAGCACAATATGTCAGTATACTTTAGGAAAAATCACAAAAATAAAAATTCATAGAGAAATTACCAAGAATAATACTATTATCTTTCAAAACCCTAGAAAGAAAATATTTTGAGAAAATAACTGCTAACTAATAATGTCAATTGCTAGTTAACATTACTAGCATTATTAATATTAATAATTAGAAGTTAACATTAATCGGTAACATCAACTAATCATATACAATATATGAGTATATAGTGAACATTGTTTTTTGCTATGGTAATCTTTTAACAAATGTGTGTGCCTACTAGATATAAAACACAGTGTTAATATCTTTTACTCAGTTGATTGAAAACAAAACCAAATGAAACAAAATTAATTAAGAAACAAGAAACAAAAACGCAGAGCCAGATAGTTGGGATGCTTGAAATACTGCAAACCTCTTTTACTGCATTTATTCTATACAAGTCTAATAAATACAGAAGTGGTTTTGACCAAATGGGTTTTTATTGCCTGCAAGCGGTTACACTTAGAAGTGGGAGAATAAGGTACAGTGATGGAGGCACGCTTACTACCCCACACCTTAGGATTTTTTACGGTTGAAAGAAGGAATACTCAGAATGGAACAAGACATGAGCTCATTGGATAATCTAGCCTATATTTGGGTTTGGAAGTCCTTTAAGCCCAGGAATACACCTGCAGATCAATTCAGAATACTAAGAACCAAGGTTAAAGATTTATACACATCACAACAATGGCAAATTAACTACAAAACAAACCTTGCACACAAATTATAAACCATAAGGTACACACCATTTTAACGAGAGTACGATAGAGTTGGCGCAGTGATCAGAAGTGGCTTCTTCTCACAATATTACAGTATGAGAAATACATATCTCACTTGGCACACAGGACATTACTTTGATGTAATTACAGAATAAAAGGTTAAATCTGCTTTAAAAAAAAAAAAAAAGCCCATGTTCCAATCACAAACAGAGCCAAAGCTCACTTAGGTTAAGCTAAATAAAAGAGGATGATCTTCTTAAAAAGAAAATACTTGGCATTTCCCCCTTTCACTCGTTTACTTTTTAAAGAAATACAAGCATATTTATTTGGTCAAAACAATAAATGTAATTACAAGGACAGGGTACAAAAAAACAATGTCAAAGTCCTCCTTCCTTCTCCAGAGCTGTGTTCTCAGCCTTCCTCTTCATCACTGTCTTTCATAGTAATGCCCTGAAGTCCTCCTTCTGAAACGGAGGCTGTGGCCTCCTCTACTGTTAAACGTCTGTGCAGAGTATCGTATGTCTTACTGTTCAGCGTTGCTTCCAACACACCCTGCAGTCGGAAGTCCCTATATGTTTTCTGGAGAAAGAAAAGACAAGTTGCTTAGATAACTTAGATTATATGTATACTTATATATGTAGGTTCCTGAGTTCAGTCGTCCTTTCAAAAATGATCTTGGACAATCTACTAATGAATTCTGATTGTGGTTGCCCATGTCAATCATCTTGTTGGTGTATTTCTGGGGAAAAAAATTGGATGAGAGACTTTGGATAGTGCTATTCAAACTACAATCACTATGAATACATCAAAGTGTTGTGACTATCAGATGACAAATTAGCCTTCCTCCAAAACATTACTAATTGCACAAAATTTATTATTTGAAAAAACTGTAACAAATAGAAACTATGTACTTATGTGCATTTTTAATAAGAAAGATTTCTTAGTTTTTCAGTGGAGTAGTCTTTCCTTTAATACTGAAAACTACATTTCTTTTTGTGAAAATACATTAGTTTGGGGGGACAAATGTGTGGAGGAAGAGGATTAATCCTATTATCAGTAAAAGAAGTTCACATTTTCAGCATCTGCTAATTATAAAATTTATTTACATGGACCACTGGGTAAAAATTTGTGTACACCTTAAAGTCTCTATGACATTTACCTTTTCCTTTTGAAATTCCCTTGGAATGGGAAGTGCCAAATTCTGGACTGAAATTTCCATAGATGGGATAATAAAACAAGTATTTACGTTTTTTTTGTGAAATAACAAATTATAATTTGGTGTATTTGATATTAAAAATAGAATAAATACCATGTTCTTATTTTTATAATAAGTTTTAACCTCAACAAAACACTTCTGTGGCACTTAAAATATATAATCTATAAAGCTTCTCTTAAGTTCACTTTTTATAGTGTGATTTTCTTCACAAATGATGTTCCATGACTAAACCGGACTTGTATTTTACTGTTATTGATTTTTAAAGTTGGAGAAAAAGTCCAGAGTTAGTTAAACGGGGAAACAAAGAACAAATGAAGATATCCCATTCTGTGAAGGTACGTCTAAGGCTATTTTCAATGCTAAATATCTTTCCTGATTCCTCTACTGTCCTATGTTAGATTTAGAATATTAAGCAGTCAGATTTCAATAGACTAGCCCAAAGTATCAGTATGTATCAATATGCACTGTTCTGTTCTAAGTGATTCCTGGTAGCCACTTTTTTTTTTGTTGTTGTTGTTTGCACTTAATAGATGAAAAAAGTCAAATAAGAAGGAGGAATAGTATACTTCATGGCTCACAGCATAACTCCAATAGCTGGAAGTTAATATTATGAGATGCTTAGTTTCACCAAACATAGTAAAGTGTTCATAACATTTGAATGTTCATAACATTCTAACATTTAAGCTGAAGGTACTTATTCACATGAGTTATCAAGTGCTGATAGACAGCATCCTAGTCTCCTGTATGTACAAACCTGGCCTCTACTTACAGCCTACAGGAAAGTAGGATCATTACAATGTAGTGGGACCACTGGGATTTTCACATTTTATCTTCCTGTTTTCTTCCACCTGACTCATGCCCAATGGTATCGTTCCAAGTCTCAGAAGTGATATGTCAATAGTAAGGATGGAGAATGAATAATATATATTTTTCTCACTTGATAATCTCCTGATATAAATAAAATTCATATTTGAAAAGTCCATTTTATGTCCAAAATAAACTGAACTCTGAGGAATGCTGCAAAGTATCTGAGGTCAGTGTTGGAACAGAAAGTAAAGTTTAGATTCAGAGAGTATTTCTTTTCTCCTTAAATGATCAAACCTATTTTATTCAAATTATAAGAGTTTATTTCAGGACACATACAATCCACCATCCTTATATTCTCTTTCTAAGCTGAAAAAGCTTATTGTGACAAAGTCATTCTAAGTCATAAGTTCTAAGTCATAAGTTGTTGTGACTAAGGTGGTACTCTCTTTCACCAAAACTCAGGGTAGTTCACATCAGAACAGGTAAAGTAACTCTAAATTTTGTCTAGAGAATCTGTTAACTAATATACATGGCATTATTACCATAAAGATTTGAATTCAAAGCTGTAGCTCTCTTCTAGTTATATTAAAAATATATCAAGCCTGCAAAATAATCACCTACAGATGATACATCTGATATAAAGTATTACTGTCCCACTAACAATTATATAGTTAGTTTGCGAGTTGGATTTTCTTATTTTATTGGAATGACTTTCCTTATACTTCCCTTAATTTTCTTTTCTTTTCTTTTGTTTTACACACAAACGTTATGGACATTTATTAACTTAGCTTAATTTTCAATAAGTTGGCCAGGACAGATCCAAATTGTGGATTTGAAGTCCTGAAGGTTTTCTTATTTATATACAATTAAGACCTCTTCCTTATTCTTTTAGCCAGCAAAAGCAAGTTAGGTGGGCTTCAAGGGAGATATCCTTGCAATCTTTCTCTCTTTTTAGAATTCATACAATGTTATCAACACATGTACATCCCCTATGGCTGTCATAAAGGTTTGGTTGACTCTTATTTAAGACAAGTCCCTGCCACAGAGCGCTGCTCACTTGCCTTCTTTTCTCCTAGCAAATGAGGCAGCTGATTTATGTTAGCTGCTTTTAAATGTTATTTGGCCACTAGGGAGAACGCAAATCCATCAGCCATTTTATTACTTGAGGATTCTACTTTTCCCCTTCCCAAATAAGTCATTCGGATGTTAAAACTTCACAAATAATTTTACAGTTCTTAATTTTTCATGGAAATCTTACCAGAATTTGTTTTTTCTTAGTGAGCAACATGAATGAACCACTTAGTGTATAAGTGTCTTTGTAGGGCAACATTGGCTATCATACAAATTTTTATGGTGTCTGGGTCTCCATGTGCACAGAACGACAGTGCCTGTTAGTAGTGAGGACTAGACGGCTAGAGTTGGGTAGTATGGATCCTGGGTAGAATGTACAACTCTGCTGTAATATGTAGTCCAAGTCTAAGTGATCTGAATGGAAAGAAAGCCTAATTACGGACCTCCACAATTCTATACATGCGTTATTTAATAGCTTCTGAAATTCACTGGAAAATGATCATTATGAACAAAACCACACAGATTCTGAAGAATGATGAATCTATGTATGAAGTTGATTAAAGTCTGAATTTTTTTTCCTACTTTTAATTTTACATTCAAATTCAAAATGTAAAATTCAAAGTAGGAAAAAAAATTAGTACATTAAGTTATTAATTAACCTTGATTTTCACTGTGAAAATAATCGTTTTTAATTATTAAATAGAGCCCTATGACTTGATCGAATATATCATCCGAAGAAATCATTGGCTGAGCGTGAGGACTTGTTTGTGAAAAGCAAAACATGGAAAATTAAACATATTAATGAAATTTAATTTTATGACTATCAGTCTTAACTTTTTTTTTTCTTCCTGGGCAGTTGGCTGGTGAGGGGATTCAAATGCTTTATCTTGGTGTCATCAGCGCTATGCCCTAACAGGTGAGCTACTGGGTCAGCCCCTAGTCTTAACTATTGATAGCCATAATAAAGAATATATTAAAGTAAGATAAACTAATTGACTTAGAGTACAATGGAAATGCCACATATAATTCATGGAATTATTAATAGTTATTTTCTGCTAAAATATTCACTGGTGAGAATACTTAAGAACTACTCTCATAGCAAATCTCAAATATATAATACTTCACTATATCACATTGAACATCTTGAATATATATATATATATATATATATAATTTTATTTGTCAATTATACCTCAATGAAGCTGAAAAATTTTTCACTGGTGCTTGACCTTTAACTGTAAAGACACATGTAAATACAAGAAAAGAAATAACTTTTAAAGAAACAAATGACAGGCTAATAAAAAATGGAGATTTTTATGCTAAAAACAAAGTAAAAAGCTTAACAATCTATCAGTCCTAATATTTGGCTGAATTTGTAACTTCTGACATCTTGGACACAGTAGACGTTAGCTTGGAAATACGGCTGATACTTAGGATAACCAGCTAATCCTAATACTAATCACAGTACAGACAGCAATCTTAACATTACCTGTATTTAGAAGGTAAACACATTATCTTGACTTTCTTTTATGAAAAACGAACTTCATTGGAAAGCTCCTCAAGTAACATTTATGGAAACAAAGAAACAATGGAGAACTAAGCCAAATATGAACATATCATAGTGTGCTTTTAGTTTCTTTGTAAAATAAATAACACCTTGTAAGCAGTGTTCTGGATCAAAGATATTTTGTCCATTGAAATGTAATGTGTAGCTATAGTACTAAAATTTTGTGAGTTGCAAGAATTTTACTTATTTATGACTAATCATGATTACAATTACTGTGACATTATAGGTCTAGTTCTGCGTTCCAGTAGATTTGCGAATTTCTGACTCTGGAACAGAACTTCCCTATTTGTGGGTCTTTCTTACTTGTGATAACAGTATGTCTACAGCACAAAAGAATTTGTATTCTAATTAGATGGCAGGAACCAAGAGAATGATGAAAAATATTTTCATGTGGATAGGAACATCTTTTAATGATGTAACACAGTGGTTCTTTGCAAACTTTAGCATGTATTAGAATCATCTGGAAGACTTGTAAATATATAGACTGTGGGGTCTCACCCTCAGAGTTTCTGATTCAGTAGGTCTGGGGTGGGGCCAAAGAATTTGCAATTTTAACAAATTCCCGGGTGATACTGATAATGCCAGGTCAGAAGTGACACTTTGAGAACTACTGTGTACATGCATGTGTATACACATAAATGCATATACATGCACATATATACCTTATGTGTATGGACACACACATATTTATTACCATTAATAAACAGTACTAAAATGGAAGTGAAGGTCTTCTGTTTAAAAGAACAGTTGATTCTCAATAGCACAGAGTTATGTTTTCAGCTATAAGGTGGAATTTCTGTCTCAATTTTAAGAAAAGTTTAAACATGGGATGAATTTTGTGCTTTCACTAGAATTTCCAGTGTGTGAAACAAGTCCCTTCTTACTAAATATAATATGTAGGTTATTAACTTTTCTCTTGAACAGCAAACATCAAAATGTCCTTATTGAACTTACATAACATCTGTGTTAGTAGTTTTGGATGGTCCCCATTGCTCAAACTGATCATCTTTTACATAAAAGAAGGGGCATGCTTCTAAAAGAATTTAGGCAGTAACAATGAATGACATTCATACAAGGATATAACAAAATAACCGAGACTCTCCTTAATCTATTGGCAAATACAGTTCAAAAGTCCTCATAATGATATGTGATCCTAATAAATTTGAAGCAAATGTTATGAGAAAACATTTTTATTCTTAAGAAAATTTACGCAAAATTATAGTGGACTTACTACAAGGGTACTTCAAAAAGTTTGTGAAAAACTAAAAGATAATACAAATCTTTCCATGAACTTTTTGAAGTACCCTTGTACATTCAGGTAAGTGTGCTTACAGGCTTTATGTACTTTATCTTAAAATGTGATAACTTGCTAACAACTACTTTTTATTTATTAGTGCAAAAAAGATAAATTTATGTGTATTTAGTAATCTAAGTAAAAATGGAAGTAAATCGTAGCACATTACTGCTAATAAGTGATGCTTTTTAAGTACTTACATTCACTCAGTTATAGTAAATATGATTTTCATGTATGTCAATATCTTGCCATGATTCCTTATAGCTTGTTGGGCACTTCACATCTAAACACATTTTGTTTACCTTCACAATCTTGATGAGCGTCTTCAGTTGGTAAATATGAAGCTGGAGGTCTAATCTATCAGCCAGCCACACGCAAATGACTTTCATGGAACTGCTGTACCATTGCTGGAAAGAAGGATGGGGCAGAGGGGAGGAGGACAAAAAAGAAAACAACCTCTGCAGTATTCATTTAACAGATTCGGTAATGAGGGGGTAATGAAACACTCTGAAATGACCACAGATCAGCACTTGAAGTCAATAATGCTATAATTTCCTGTTAACAGAATTGTATGTTTTGCTAGAAAAACTGCTAAGTTGACCTAGGCTGTTCTTAACATGAATTAACATTATGGTCTTTCAGCTGTAACATATTCATGGGAAACAGTGTTTTTGCACTTTGCAGCCTAGTGGCCTGCTTTGTAATTTGTAGGTAACAATGGGTACTAAATACATGTTATGAGACTGAATGGATGGCCAAGCAGCAGGAAAAAAGCTAAATTATTTTCAAAGGAAAATTTCTTATTAGCCCACATGTTATGTAAAAATCAAAGAATAGATGTTTTCTGCCATAAGGCATGTAGTCAATATCTAGAAATAACATTTTAAAGGAGTGATGGCAAAACGTATCCACAGCTTACTAATAAACAGCAATTCTCAATCATACCTTTATCTACTACTGCTTGTTAATAATCTGCTAAGATGTTTTAAATTCACCTAAAATAAAGATTTATTAAGATCTTGGGAAGAACACTATCAAGATGGAATTCTTACATCTTATAAGAATTACAGAACAGATGTCAGTTGACCAAATTATGGATCTGTTTCATTTTGCAAGAGTTCATAATTTTTCTCTGTTTATAAGAACTATCTTGAGGGAAAAACTGAAATTCTTCTCTAATGTAATTTCCTCCTCCTATATAATGTCTGTGAGTACAGTAAAAGAAGAAATTTTGTTCCATTTTCAGAAAAAGGCGATCTGCCATTAGTGGTGACATTTTAAAGGATTCAGTGATTATACGCCAGAGCTAGGTTTGGGTAATACTTTAAGAATAATGCTACTCATTCAGATAACAGTGAGAAATACCAACGTCCATTGAACACTTAGGAAACGACAAAAGAGTTTTTCAAAGAGAAGAGATTTTGTGCCTTGCTTTTATACACAAATACAGTGACAGTACAGAACACATGTGTGTGCACATGTTCTTGGGTATTCAAACACAGCAAAAAAAAAATCTTTAAAAAAATTTTCCCCCACATAATGAAACAGTAAATTCAACATCTAGGAGAAATCTTAAGTGATACATCTAAAATGCTGGATTTGTATTTATTATATTATTATTATTATTTGTATTTGTTATAATTCTAAGAAGGTTAATATTATTTGTATTTATTATAATTCTTCTAATAAAATTTAGTACAATAAGAAATAGTTTTAAGTGTAAATTAAAAGCAAGTTAATTTCACATTTCATCACATTTATTTCTATTGTTAATATACTGGACATACATGTACAAAATGAGAGAAGCTAATTAAAATAAATAATTTACTAAATATTATCAAATAGGTGAACAAAAATTTCATTTCTAAAATATGGGATAGACCATGATTTTTACAAATATGTTATTCTGTGCCTAATTTTGCTCCTTTCTATTGATTACTTTCTGAATTTTCAGAACACATAAAAAATGCCAGATATAAATTTTATAAAATAAGACATTTACCCTCCCAAATTCTTAAAAAACAAACTTCTAGTAAATTCAGTTCTTCAGTTGACATATTAAATCTCAAAATCTTTTATAGGTGCTCACTTTAATTTCTGACGTTATTTGAAATGAGGAAGTATATGATTTTAATAATTTAGAACCTCAGTTTCTTCAGTTCCATTTTAATACAGGTAAACACAGGTATTGTTGATATGGAATATTAATATACTGAATTAAGACTCTCACTCCCACACCTTTCTCCAGATCATTTGAAAGCTAAAATGTTGTCATAATGGATGTCTCTTAAAAATTATAGTCCTTCTGCAGGGACAGTAAGTTCTTCTTTTTTGTTGGGGGAGATAAAATATTATATATCATAAAAGTCTACCACAACTTACTATTTAATCTGTCAGACTACACAGTTACTATACACATGATAAGCTGTATAAAATTGAGGGAAATGAAAATACTTTCTTAGAATTACTCCAAATGCATCTTTAAGTGTTTTAAAAAATCCTTACATAATTTAAAACTAATTTAACTTCATTCTCCCATTATATATAAATGGTATTTACAATTAAGCGATAATTGAAAGGACATTTAATGTAACACAGAAATTATTTATATGATAATTTCTTTAAACTCGATGCCAAAATTTTAATTTTAGAGAAAAAGAATTTGGGAATAAAATGATCTAAAGTTAACTATAAAGACAGAGAAAAAGAGAACTATCGTTAAGCAAAATGTTTAAGCTACTTTAGCATCATCTTACTTTGAGGCAAACAAATAGTTCCATAAGGAAAGTCTATGAGAAAAATTATCCTAGCAGATAAGAATGTATATTTTTGGTTCCTAGGCCAAAGCATTCTGAAGAGGAATTTCAGCTAAATTAAGCAAATGTTTAAGGGAAAGCAGTAGTTTAGCTCAGAGTACATGCTACCACTAAGAATAGGCTAACAACAAAAACAAAAAAACACTACGACTGCTTCTTTCTCATATATGGTGAAACTCAAACTCACACAAGCACACACACACACACACACACACACACACACACACACACACACACACACACACACACACTCCAACAAAGCCACTAAGCATAAACCTCTGGCACTTCCCTATTTCTGGTGCGGGAATTAGTATGTCTTTCTTTTAAGTGCTGAATATGGTAGGTCCCATTTTTTCATCTTGAGAGAAAAGTGAAAGGTAGGTTAGGTTCTTTCCCTGTTCTCCCTACCAAACTAAACCAACCCATCCTCTAAAAAACAAAGAAAAAAATTGAAAAGAGCGAATGCGCAATAAAATCCAAATATTAGCAAATATCTTTTCATTTCGGCAAAGTTAATTTTACAAAACGACTTGGTTGACTATTCACTTTTCCCTTCAGGGGATGACAAGGAAGGGGAGCTGCAGCCTGCACCGATGTCATGGGTAGGGCAGGACCGCTTTATTCTTTGCTTTGGTCTACACAGGAATAAAGCAGTAAGTGTATTTTTTACAATTTTTTTTTCTACATCAATCCATGACAGCAGCCTACCACTTTAACAAAATATATGGTGTTTTTTTTTTCCTTTTTCTTTTTGTGGCTCATTCAACTCCTGTAAGGGCATGTGTTACTCACTTCATTTTTTTGAGATATCTCGTTTAAAGCAAAAATAAAAGAAAAGGAAAGGCTGGGGTTGACTCTGTGAGACCCCTGTATTTATTCACACTTATTGTGCATGACTGTAGACTGGTAAATCATATTAGCAGCCCGTCTCCCCATCAAGCTGCTACTTGCTTTCCAGCCCTGGGAAGGTTCAACAAATCAACAGGAGCACGGAAAACAGAACATCAGTCTAATCTAGTGTTTAAGGTGAAGTTTTCAAACCCAATCTAAGAAGATCTTTAGAGCAAGCAACAAGCTGAAGGGCTCAGAAGGTGGTATTGACAATGAAAGAGTGTTGAAATATTGAGAAGCGCAGCACTTGTGCATTTTTAATAACAAGAGGGTCAACAAGGACACAGCTCCCTCAGTGCCAGGAGTTGCCACTGACTATGGAAATTGCCACACCAGGGCTATAAACGCTTGCAGTTCATCAGCTTTCTTAAACAGTTCATCAGCTTTCTTAAACACCCTGAACCCCCTCAGTGGACCTTTAGTCTTGAATTAACAAACCAAAGCAATGAAAGAGGGTGCAGTCTGAATGGCTGGCATTGATCCCCAACTGTGTCAGCACTGCTACAGGCCCTGAAAAACTCTCTCCATTGTCAATAGAAATTGACAAACCTCCTCTCCTAAATAGTGCAGCTGAGCCGGGCAGGCTCCATGCAGCTGTAAAGGGCTCTGCTCTTGGGGCCGGGGAGCACTAACAATAGAACAAGCATGAGCTCTTTGTCAGTCCCAGACTCGGCAATTTTCTAACAAGGATTAAAGTTGTTTCTCCGCAGAGCTGCTGAAAAGAGATTTAGCAACATACCGTGCTTTCTTCATGCAAGTTAAAGAGAAGTAGTTAAGGAATTTCATTATTCTGTTCACTAGTGGAAATACAAAACAAATATATTAAATATGCACAACTCCCCTTTTTGACTAATTTATAACATTCTGAGGATGATTCAATTAAATATAACACTTATCACCTGGAAACAAGCACTTTACTTTTATTTTGGAAGTTTTATTTTTAAAAAGTCCAGCTGCTTGCCACCTGGAATGAGGTCTCAATACATACTAATGCACAATGCCTTTAGACCCTCTGAGGCTGATATTCCTAAATCTGAATCACAAGACCACATAGGGTTTGTATATTACGGCTGCTTCAAGCAAATGATTTCTGTCAGAATGAGGCTTCTGATGATGGTGGCAAGGTAAAAATAGCTGCTTTGCTAGGGCACAAATCTGTGATATATTTACTGCTTAAGTGTTTAGCTTTCTATTGATTACGAATTGGTACTAGTTGATACATTTTCATTCTTCTCTAGCTATGCTTGTTTCAATAGGTGAAGAAAAGTAAAATGAAAGAAAGAAAAGAAAAAGAACCAACACTTTTTAATGCACTAACACATGGAACTGCTAAATTTCTGCAGTATGTATTTCTTCATTTATTTCAAGAAAAACTGTCTTACAAGAGTTAAGTCACTGTGCTGAAATGAAATGACACTTAGAAAATCTCGCTTTAGAAAATATGTACCTTTCAAATGTAAAAATGAATTGAAATAAAAGAACAATGTTTTAAAAATGCTGAAGGTTTTGATAAATCTGATAAATATACAATAAGCCATCCTTTAAGATCATTTTAGTAGCTTTATAAAACAAAATATTTAGAAACATTAATGACCTACAGTTTCACCAGTATATTAAAAAGTAAATATAAATGCTTTATTATACATTGAGTTTTCCTTTTGTCAACAGTACACCTATCTAATATAACTAAATTTGTGGCT